AAAGAGGAGATCTATGCTTTCTGTAGAAAACAACTGCCCACTGCCATGTGCACCCCTAATGGTGATAGCGTGTGGGTTTCGAGGGATGCCTTCCCCTATGGGACCGTGCATAGCTTCTTGAATGGAAAAAGGCAATGGGCACAACCATGGCACTTGGAGAAGCTACAGGAGCACACAGGCAGGGAACCTGGTGTGGGCTGGCAGGTGTGCTGGCGACAAACTGGAGGAGGCTGTGAAGGACGGTTCCTGATGAGGGCTCAGGTGGCAACTGCGACAACACATGACTTGTGAAAGACACAAAAACTAGTTCAGCTTCTGAGTCTTTAATATTTCAGAAAAGAACCCAGGTATGCATCAGGAGCTCCAGTTTTAAATGCAAGTGATTCAAGAAAAAGAAGCTGGCACTGAAAAAGGTTACGAAGAAAAGCCAGGGCTCCACTGCAACCAAACTAATTCCCAGACAAGTGTGGAAAGTCTCATCATTTAAAAGATTTAGATTTTATTTTTAAGAAAAGTAATGCATGGACATAGTAAAAGAGTGTGTAAGAAAAGAATATGAATGTAAATTATGTAATTAAAGCTACTAAGAACAAGGCCGCTACTACAGCCAGACCGATGACCCCTTCCTAGATCCGTATCATCTCATTGCTCTCCATCTCCAGTGCCTTCATTCAATTGGATTTATTCAGAGTGAAAACTCCAAGAAAAAAAGTCACCAATGCACTTAAGAATGCGGAGTATAAAGTACATTTTTTAAAATTCTACTTGAATCATAATACAATATAAAATCTCAGTGTAGAAAAAATTAACTACATTTTTCTGTCACAGAAGTACTGCACACCCACTGATTTTTAAAAATTCAAACAGAAATAACCCATTTAAAAATAGGCAAAAGACCTAAACACACACCTCACCAAAGAAGACACACAGTTGGCAAATAAGCATATAAGACATGCTCAACACCACATGTCATTAAAACAGCGAGGTACCACTAACATACTGATTAGAATGGCCAAAATCCAAAACACTGATGACACCAAATGCTGGCAAGGGTGTGCAGCAGCAGGAACTCATTCACTGCTGGTGGGAATGCAAAATGGCTCAGCCACTCTGTCAGATAGTTTGACAGTTTCTTGTAAAACTAAACATATTCTGGATCCAGCAATTGCACTCTTTGGTAGTCATGTAAAAGTTGAAAACTTACACCCACATAAAAACCTACACATGAATGTTTATAGCAGCTTTATTCATAACTGCTCAAACTTGAAAGCAACAAGAGGTTTTTCAATTAGATAAATGGGTAGACACACTGTGGTACATCCAGACAACAGAATATTATCCAGGGCTACAAAGAAATAAGCTAGCCAGTCATGAAAAGATATGGAGGAACCTTAAAAACATATTAATCAGTGAAAAAAGCCAATCTGAAAAGGCTACTAACACGATTCCAAATTTATGACATTCTGTAAAACGTAAAATTCTGGAGACAGTAAAAAGACCAGTGGTTGACAGTGTTGTGGGAAATGAGGGATGAACAGACAGAGCACAGAGGATATTTAGGAGAGGAAAACTATTCTGTGTGCTATCATAACAGTGGATACATGTCATTACATATTTGCCCAAAGCCATAGGATGTACAACACCAACAGTGAACCCTAATGTAAACTATGGACATCGGTTGATAATGATACGTCAGTGGTGGTTCATCGATTACAACAAAAGTGCCAATCTAGTGTCGGATGTTCATGATGCAAGAGTCTGTGTATGGTGGTGGAGAAGGGACTTGTGAGAACTCTCTGCACTTTCTGCTCAATTTTGCTGTAAACCTAAAACTACTCTTTTGAAAAAAAGTTTATTGGCCAGGTGTGGTGGCTCACACCTGTAATTGCAACACTGGGAGGCCAAGGTGGGTGAACTGCTTGAGCCCAGGAGAGTTCAAGATAAGCCTGGGGAACATGATGAAACCCTATCTCCACAAACAATACAAAAATCAGCCAGGTGTTGTGGCACATGTCTGTGGTCCTGGCTACTTGGGAGGCTGAGATGGGAGGATCACCTGAGCTTGGGAGATTGAGGCTCCAATGAGCCATAATTGTGCCACTGCACTCCAGCCTGAGCAAGAGAATGAGATGCTGTCTAAAAAAAAAAAGTTTATTAATTAAAACAAAAAAAAATCAAACATAACAGATAGATGTAATGCAAAATGTCAGTCACCATCTTCACCTACAATTCCCAGTCCTGTTTCCCAGAGGCATATAAGGTTAATGATCCTATGTACCTTTTTAGAACTTCTATACATACACAAGATAAAAACTAGATATAACGTTCGCATAGTATCCTTTTTCCTCTTCTTTTTAATTAAGGAATCAACTGAGTTTCTTACTGGGCACATGCCCAACCTGCCAGCAACGTATCTTGCAGGCTCCCTTGCAGCTAAGTAGGGCCATGAGACCGAGTTCCTTAGCACACAATATGAACAGAGGTAATTCACGTCCCCTGAGAGGAAAGTGCTTCCCCTCCTCCACTTCTCGTTCCACCTTTCCCTGTGGGCTGCAATGTGGCTACAGCGCTCCGAGCTAGCTCTGAGCACAAGGAGGAAAAGTCCACTCTGGCCATGGGTCTGAAACTCTTGCATGCCACGGAGCCCTTTAACCCTCTGGTGATGCTGTGAACTCCTTCCCAGACAAATGTTTCTACATTCATAAAATAAAACACAGAGGATTACAAACTATCTTGAAACACAGTTAGCAAAATGTTTTTAAAAATATGTTACAGTAATGCCTGTGCCTCTTTGTTAATGCATTAACTAACAAATTCTGGTTGAGAATAAAATCACTGAAATTTCAAAGTAGGGTAAATATATGCGATCTTTTTGAGACATCTGCAACAACAAAAACATGAACGAAAATATCTGTCATTTCTACTGGCTACAAAGTCGTGGTTTCTGCTAACACTATGAGACCTGCTAGCTCCAGTCACAATGGAAGGACACACTAAACTTCACTTACAGGTTAGTGGAATAAAGATGTCGCTTTCCTTCCCATCCAGATTCATAGACCTCATGCTTCTCTCTGGATATGTTAGGTAAAGACCCTTGCTCTATGGAGTGGAGGAGCAATAAGAGACGGAACTTCAGTTCCTGGACAATTTCATGGGAAAAAAGCTGACAGTCTCCTTAGACCACATGCTCATGTCTGGACTACTGCAGGACAGAGACAGAACTGGCTCAAGGCAGTTCTGTTTAGGGGTCACTCTGATACAACAGTTTAGCAATAGTGCTGACCTCTACCTATGAACACTTTACAACAATCAGATGGGATTACACCAACCACACCATGTAGAGGAACAGTATGTGGGGTGGTCATGAGTTGGCTCCGTAAGCTAAAAGCCTAGGTTTCAATTTCAGTTCTGCCACTTTCTGCTGTGTGGACTGTAGACTAGTTACTCAACTTCCCTATGTCTCAGTCTTCTTACCTGTGAAATGAGAATAATGATACCTAACTAATTAGGTCACTGTGAGTGTTGATACACGGAAAGTGATTATTAAGAAAGCGCCTGGCACACTACAAATCCTCAATAAATGTTAATTATCATTAGTATTAGTACTTGTACTATTGTTGTTTGACTGTTTTTCTCACCATCCTAGATATCTTTCCACATAGGATACAGAAATCTGGTTTTATTTCTTCAAATCTTCATCATAATGTACTAAATGAACTTGCTAAAATTCATTTAAGCAGTCCCTAATTATGAAGTGAACATCTAGGATGTTTCTCAAAGTTTCACTCAAATGGTTAACACAGCACTTACGGAGCGAGCTCTCTGACGCTCCTCCACCAAACCTTTCGTCAGAAGATTGTGCGTCAACTTTATTGAGGTCTAATTTACATACAATAAAAGGCCCTCATTTCAAGTGTGCAGTTTGATGAGCCTCAGAATATTTTGTAAAAACAAGATAGAAGATATCAAATATACACTGATTTTTGTTTTTTTTTTTTCCTGTACAATCTGGTCATGCCTTTAATTAATTGTTCTATTTAGGAATTAAATGATTTTCTTATTGATTCATTAAAGCTCTTTATATATTAAATATACCCACCTTTTGTCTGCCATATTTGTTTAAAACATCCTTCTGTTGGTCAGTTACATTTTAATTAAATCAGGTGGTTCAAAAAACTTGGTATAGTATAAGAAACCTTAATTTTTTTCTTTCATGTTTTAAAAAGAACTTTCTCATTCTGAGACGTGATAAAGGTCAATCTTTACTCACTTTCCTCATCCAGCACTCCATATTACTTTCTCAGGAAAGCTTCATCTGGCTGGGCCAACTCTCCCAATGTTCCACGCTCAGTAGCACATGCCCAGCACTGGTTACTCCCATCACAGTTGCAGTTTTACACTATGTGTGTCCATAAGCCTTGAAAAGGCAGGGACCATGTCTGTATGTTGTTCACCATTGTATTCCCAGAACTTGGCACAGAACCTAGCACTCTAAATATATTTTCTAATTTTTATGTTTTCAATATTTACATTTCACTCTTTAATCACCTGAGAATCTATTTTACGATAGAGTATCAAAAAAGTTTCTATCTTCATTTTGTCCCACCATTTACAGAAGAATTCTTCCTTTCCCCACTGTTGTGACACACACTTTGTCATGAATGTATTATATACACACACACACAAAGCTCAATCTGCACACTGAGTTCCTACTATACTGGGTCTGTTTCTTGTGTTACATTGTTCTGCCTACAGAATCAGTCAACGTGGCCTTGTCTTGATTGTTGTGGAGCTCTATTATGTTTTAATATCTGACAGGACAAATCTCTTCTCAAGTGCCATTCTTTCTCTAAATGTATTAGTTAAAAATCACTTAATCAAGCCCTCTTCTAATAAAAGATGATCTTTAAAATAAATTATTAAAATAGCAGGGAGCTCCTTGTTCCCTTGTCTTCTGTAATTTCATGGATTGCTGTGTGGCCAAACATGTGTCTACTCACTTGAGCAAGCCGGCCCGGTGGAAGACGTAGAGGTCCTGCTCGAGGGTGCAGGTGCTGAAAGGGACCATTTTCACGAAGTTCTGGATGAGGATGAACTCAGGGGTGAGACGGGGCAGAGAAATTATACAGAAGTTCTTATCCTAACATCATCAAAGACCAGGACACAGAGAAAAAATAAAAAACCATTAATCAAAAAACAAATTTCTCTAAAAAACACCAAGAAAACTAGAAGCAAAATGTGTTCATTAAGGAGAGGATACTCAAATTACCTTTCCTGTAATTTGGAAAATAATCACATAAAATTCACGAAATAAGCAACTACAAGGGCATGGAAAAAGTATCTTTGTGTCTTACTGAAACCTGAATAAATTAATCTTATAAACAATGGCAGTCATTCAGCATAACTCTTCTCGGGAAGTAGTTTTTAAACCAAGACAATTCATACTTGCAAGTTCACTTGTGTTACAAAGTCAGTGAGGTAGCATGGTGTCCTAGGCCTCTTGCTTCCTAAGTGACCTTACACCAGTGGCCCCTTCCTCTTAAGAGACGGGAGGATGATACTACAGGCCTTTTTTGGCTCTAAAATTCTGTGATTATCCATAAACCAACGTGTATGTATTTTATCATGACATGATCCCAGTTGGATGAACAGATCCATGAGCATGACTAAACCTAGGCAGTGGGTTTAGTTAGTAGACACAAGAGGTCTTGCATGTCCCGAGGGCTGTCATTCACCTATTCTAGGCCTGCCCTGTCAGTAGAGTAGACAATGAAATGTGGCTAGTATGGCAAAAGAACTAAATTTTAAATTTTATTTCGTTTAAATTCATTTAAATAAAAAAAAACTGATAATTCCATTACTGGAAAAGTTTTATGTGTGCTTGGTTTGTGTGAATCTACTTATCCAACTGTAAATTTTATAACATCTAAATACAGATGAACTATTTCTGATGAAAATTCAGTACTTGTATTGAGATGTGCTATAGATGTGAAATATATATTAGACTTCAAAGACTTAGCATGAGAAAAAGAATGTAAATAGCTCACTAATAAGTTTTCATATTGATTATATGTTGAAATGATTACATTTGCCCAGGCACAGTGGCTCACTTCTGTAACCCCAGTACTTTGGGAGGTCAAGATGGGAAGACCACTTGAGCCCAGGAGTTCGAGCCCAGCCTCGGCAAGATGGCGAGATCCCATCTCTACAATTTTTTTTTTTAATTAGCTGGGCATGGTGGCATGTCCCAGCTATTTGGGAGGCTGAGGCAGGATGATCTCTCGAGCCAAGGAGTTTGAGGCAGTAGTGAGCTATGATTGCGACACTGCATGCTGCAAAGTGAGACCCTGTCTCTTTAAAAACAGGATTGGGACACATTAAGTTAAATAAAAGATATTATCATATAAACTTCATCTGTTCCTTTTTCTTTTTTTTCCTTGTGGCTCTTGGAACATTCAGAATTACCGACGTGGCTCACAATCCATGTCTGGACAGTGCTGCTCTAGGCTATCTGAGCTTCACGCAGCTGCCTGATCCTCTGCCAGGTCCCTGCAGAAGCAGCCTGCTCTTCCCAAAGCTAATTTGTCCCTTTGGGATCTCGCCTCCTCTTGAACCCTGTGAAGGCATTACTTGTGCTAATCCAAAACCCTGGGGACATTTGTGCAGCTCAAAGGAGTGAATCATTGTTTGACCTTAACTTCCTTCTTTTTAGCAAATTAGCAGGACTCCTTTAGGGAAAACTGAGAGTCAAGTTGCTGAAATACTCAAGTTGAAAATAAGGACTGGGTGCCAAGTCTGGGTGGGCTTTCTCTGGGAGGGGGAGACTAACTATAATGAGTTGCTTCATCTTGGATTTGAAGGATTAAGGACGAAGCAATCAAGGTTATTTTTTTTCCTGTCGTCCATGTTCCGAAGTCAAATAGAATTGAAATGTAAACAGCTCTTGTAACTTTTTAAAGCCAGCATTACTTTTATAATGTTAAAGATTTACCTTTACATGGACTTTAAAATAGGAAACAATTAAAATTAGTGAAATTTATTTGAGGAGTCTTTGAGGGAAACCAACTTTGTAAATCCTATGTTTAGGGTAATCTACATTGTTTTGAAAGTGCCTTAATAATCAATTTTTAAAAATTATGATGGAGAACGTATTGCCTTATTACATAGCTTCATTATAATAAAAATGAGGAAATAAAACTTAACATCACACAGTTTTAAGACAAAATAATTAAAGTATACTTGTTTTTGCCTCATGAGAAAGAGTATCCAGGAAATATAAAGCAATAGATATTTTTATTGAAATCAGTCAACTGAAGAAGTACAGTTGTTGACTTTACTTAACTAACAGGCCTGTCTTTATAAAAACGCATTTTGTCCCTCAAACCTTCCTTCTCCATTTTCTTTCCTTCAATAAAGAAGTGTGAGAGTTTGGCTGGATCTCCATCCCTAGAGAACAATGAGACAAGAATGTAGGCAGAAGCCCAGGACACCCTGACACGGAGAATCTTATTTGCACTTGGATATTAGCCTGCAGGCCCATTCACCAATGTGGGTTGAGCCCCCTGTACAAGACAGGCATGAAGTCAGGCCTGAGGAACTAGTAGGGAAAGAAATACCAACCTGAAAATCAACAAGTCCCTACTTTGCTACCCTCAGAAAAGCATTATGATGGTTTCAGAACACTTATAGCCAACATAATCTATCAAATAACATAACTGTATCATTCACTTTAATTTCTGACATTTTCATATATTACTATAAATGATTTGATTCTGATAAAACACTGGTAAGGCTATGTCTAAAAGAAATTTTGCATTTAAAGAGAACTGCTAAAATAGCATGACTTAAAAATTCTTGAAAATGACAATACTTTCTATTTTTATGAGCTCATGACATGCCATTTGACCTTATTCTCAGAACACAAACCTCAACATTCATAGCATAATAAATTTATGACATTTTACTTTTAAATAACTTCTCTAAGCTTACAAAATCAGTTCTCAAAATTCAGCATGTACTTACAGAAAAAAGACTGAAAACAAAATTCATGAAATCCAGAGACCTGTAAACAAGACAGTAAGCACTGTCACTGCCCTGCAAGCAAATGCAACATCAGTGGACATTTACAGAGATTTACAGCTCCCTCCCCTCGGGCAGTGATTAGCCAACCACTAGTCAGAACGTGTGTCTAGCTGAACACTAATGGGGCGCATAAGTCGCAAGCTTCATATGCCAGTAATAAAGTATTCTGCAGAACTGAAGGCACTTTCACATCAATTAATAATCTCTGTGCATTTGAAAAGCCAAAACAAAATTGGTCATTCTGTGCCTCCGATCCTTCCTGTCTGTTTTGAAAGAGTTAAGAGGAGAGGTGGGAAATATTATAGGCTGCTTCTGATCTTTTTCCCTTTTATCCGTTGAAGATTTTCTGACTAGCTGCAGATGTAAGTTCATAGGCAAACTACACTGGGTCATCAAATTCCTGTTTCAAAATTCAAAAAGTATACTCTAAGCACAATCATATTTAAATGTACCAATAAAATAAATATAAAGCAACAAATACAGATAGGCTTTACAAGTTTTTAGATGTCTACAACACAATTAGAATAAAAAGAATTTATCTTTTCAATGTCCCAGATCTCCACAGAAGCCAAAAACTCAAGATGAAAAAAGTTAAAGTACAACATGGTTCCAGGGGATGCTGGGAGATTGGGAACATGTTTAAACAGATCCTCTGGAGAGGAACTGTCCAGCTATTCTTGGTCATCTAAAAGACATTCTAGAGCCTTCTATTCCATCAAAATGGGCCAATCATTTCCTCTTCGAGATGGTTCTATGAACAGATGAGGAGTCGGTGCTAAGGAGATGTGGCATCCAGGCACTGAGGGCAGCGTCCAGTGTTCAGACTAGAGGAGAACAGTAAGCACTGAACATACGGGAGTTCTGGAGGGGCGGGGTGGGTAGCTATGAGGTCTGGTGGGAGCCGGGGCTTTAGACAAAGCCCAGCACCATGCATGCCTCCTCCTTGCTTGCTGGATTGCTATTGGGTGTCAACTTATCCCTCACTCAGATATTCCATGTGGCTGAGGCACCAGTTGCAGATTCTGGGTAAAGCATGAGCTAAGGGATGGAGCCCATCTCCTCCATCTCCTTGTGGCATGGGCTCGTCACAGCCTTTGGCTCAGGAATGAACACACAGTCCTGTCAGCCCTCATGGGACTTTGGCTGGAAAAAGCTGGGCCCATCCTGGCAAGTCCTCCTCACTGGATTTTGATGCAGACCTGAGACTGTCAGTGGTCTTAGGCTTAGGATGGGGCACTCCTCTGAGAAAGGGGCCAATAGTAGGGAAGTAGGGTGATATGGTTTGGCTGCGTCCCCACCCAAATCTCATCTTGAATTGTAGCTCCCACAATTCCCAAGTGTTGTGGGAGGGACCCTTTGGGAGATAACTGAATCCTGGGGGCAGTTCCCCCATACCGTTCTCGTGGTAGTGAATAAGTCTCACGAGATCTCATGGTTTTATAAGAGGAAACCCCTTTCACTTGGCTCTCATTGTCTCTTTGCCTGCTGCCATGTAAGATGTGGCTTTTGTCTTCCCCCATGATCGTGAGACCTCCCCAGCCATAAGGAACTGTGAGTTCATTAAACCTCTTTTTCTTTATAAATTACCCAGTCTTGAGTATGTCTTTATCACTATCATGAAAACAAACTAATACACAGGCTGAAGAGGTAGACAGAGAAACTTGGTCCTTGATTTGGTTATCTAAATAAATCCTAGATCAAGCCATATTTAAATTAGTCTCATCACTGGAGTTATCCTTAGGTATGTGAGGCAATTATTCAATTTTTTTTCCAAAGCCAGTTTGGTTGGATTTTCTGTTACTTGCAACCAAAGACTCTAGAAAACCAATAACCCAAATCCAAATTCTCCAAGAACTGCAAACTTTACAGAATGGGAGCAGCATGTGGTTATGTAAGTGATAATTTTCCAGATTCCCAATTGTTACATAGGTGGGCCAGCTTTCTAACCCACTTCTGTAGCCCTTGTTAAATGTGATGGACTAGAATCTCTGGATGGGGCTTAGGAGTTTGTGGTTTTTAAAAATTCCCCAGGAGATTAGGATGCGGGCCAGGTTTGGAAATTACTGGCTTTGTAAACCAATGCCAGAAGAGATTCTCACTGTGACAGCCAGCCAGAAGGTCAGTACTTGCCTTGCTTCGTATTTCTCATCAATAAAAAACAGCTGAATACAAAAAGCAGCTGAGGCTCCCCTGTAGATGGGGCAGAAGTGGACGGGCTCTTCAGGCAGTAAGAACGATGCCAAGCTCCTACTGCTGACACGGTGATCCTGTGCATATCCAGTGGAGATGTCACTGAGTTTTTCTATGTCCTAGAGCAAGGAGACAGGAGGAGCCAATGAGAATCCTGTCAATTCCCTATAATTTAGTGGGCTGGTGTTTGCATTATCTCTACATGACACCGTTCTGAGGACAGGTGTGACTGTCTCACCCGAAACAACTCATCCTGGGCCAGGCCTGGTTTTAAGGAGAGGTTCTTAATGAGATACTCAAAATTTATAAAATGTTTTTAAAAACTAGTTCTTCAATGAGAACACATGGACACAGGGAGGGGAACAACACACACTGGGGCCTGTCGGGGGGTTGAGTGGGGAAGGGGAGGGAGAGCATTAAGACAAATACCTAATGCAGGCAGGGCTTAAAACCTAGATGACGTGTTGACAGGTGCAGCAAACCACCATAGCACGTGTATACCTAGGTAACAAACCTGCACGTTCTGCACATGTATCCCAGAACTTAAAATTTAAAAAATAATAATAAAGAAAAATAAAACTAGTTCTTACATGAAGGTCTCACACGAGACAAATAGTTTCAGTTGGCCTTTGACATAGGGTCCATATTTTAACTGCATCCTGGGGTAGATATTAGAGTGTGGTAGTATTATATACATATTATAATAACTCAGGAAGCAAAATACTTCTCTCCCTAAAACTGTGTTCATTGTGATACAAGAATTTTTGAATCTTGGGACTGGTCAGGTGGTCCTAGGAGTAACTGTGGTGGGGAGGTGGAGCCCAGGAAGGTCAAATGGACCACAGCCACCTGGAAAGTCAGGGCTGAGGCTGTTCTGTCTTGGTTCAGGTGCATCTAAAAAGGTGTCAAAACTCAGAAGATGATTCCTTTTGAGATCCCTCAAGGAGTTCTTTTAAATCAAAGTAATACATGCATATAAAAAAATTTAAAATAATATCAGCACCAAACATTTATTAAGAAAATCAGCAGTTCTCTGTCCTTCCAAGTCTCTACCCCCATTGAACAGAACTTTTGACCTTTTCATTTCTTTGGGTATTTACCTCTATATTTCTGAACAGTATGTTTATGGTGCTATTTCTAAATTCATTCGTTCTTAGAATTTCCTACTGGATATTGATGTAGTGGCTAGATTAATCCCTCTTATCCTACCCTCTTCCCCACATCTTATCCCCCAGGATAATTACATCACAATTCAGGGTTAAATCCATAAGTATTTACACTAATATGAATGTGTAAGTTCTGTTGTTGCTGAGGAAAGTAGTGTAATACGACAATGTTTTCATTTGTGTGCTTAGTTTTTATTCACTTGGTTTCCTAAATTTTTCACTTGCTTTATTAGATTTGCCAAATGTTGGTCACCACTATTTTCCAAATGATCAGGCATTTGAGATAATATATGAGCTTCCTTTTTTCTCCCCTCTAATCTGGACTTGCAGCTCTGCCGGCCTGCCTGTATTGCAGCTCCTATTTCGTAAGTTCCAGGTCTTTTCTTTGTCTTTTCTGTGCATCATTTAGGCCCTTATATCAGTAGAGCACATTGTTAGCTTCCCAAAAGCAACATGCTTGAGAGGCAAAACTCCACAGACACTGGCTAACTGGGGCACTTCATGGGGTGATCAGGCAGAGATATGGCATTATGATTGGGTGGCCAACATTCAGTGACATTATCTGAAGGTATTTTCTTTGGGCCTGTCAGTTTTGGGGGGACTTAAGTTCTCCAATATCCTGCACGGGGGACTGTGGTAGATGGAACAGTGGCCCCCAAAGATGTTATAGGCCCTAGTCCCTGCAACCTGTAAATATGTTATCTTTCAGGGCACAGGGATTATGTAGATGTCATCACATGAAGGGTTCTGTGATGAGGAGATGCTCCTGGATGATCCAGGTGGGGTCCAGTGGAATCACAGGGATCTGCTAAGAGGGAGGCAGCAGGTCCGAGTCAGAGGGACGAAGATGCTGCGCTGCCAGCTCTGAAGATGGAGCAAGGGGCCACAGAGCATGGAATGCAAGTGGCTTCTAGAAGCTGGCAAAGGCAAGGGAACAGATTCTCCCCCAGAGTCTCCAGAAGGAACACGCCCCTGTCTACACCTGAAGCTCAGCACACTCAAACCCATTTTGGAATTCTAACCTCCAGAACTACACAATAATAAATTTGTGTTGTATAAGCCACCAAGTTTGGGGTAATGTGTTACAGCAGCAATAGAAACTAATACAAGGCCTGGCTCCTGGCATCGAGAGGGCATGGCTGGAGGAGGGACTGTGGATTCCTCTGTTCGAAATGGAGAATTCCACTTACTTGTCTGTTCTCTATTCTTCACCATTACAACGCCCATGCAGCACAGGCTAAATCTGAATTAGCAGCAGCCTCTGTTCAATTTCTCTAGAGAATAGTCATTTTATCCTCTCACTTGGGGTGTGGCTGACAACCTAACTGGAGTCTGCAGGGATCCAGTGTTCCAGTCCCTCCACATCAGACTGCCCAGCTTTTCAGCCCAGTTCCTCACCCCGCCTTCTGCAAACCTCCAGTCTTCAGCCTTGTGCAGAATTCACACACTTTTCGCCAGTCTTTCCTCTCATAAAGATGCTTGAGTTTCACCTTCCTCAGCTGTGCTAAGCCAGTGTAAACTCCTCCATCGATTTTTTCAGTCTCAATATTTTTAAAGTGCTTATCTTCCAATATTTCCTCTCCATCTCATCTTTGTGGATTTGTGCCCTTTTTATTCCTTTACTGTCATTTCAGTGGTTTTCTCCGGTAGGGAGAGGAGATAAAACTAGGAGATCAATCCACCTTGTTGACTCAGGTGTCTTGTGGGGTTCCAACATGTTTGATGCAGTGGTGGGGGCAGGCATCCTGGCCCTCCATCCACATCCTTGCTTGGGTTCATAAGGGAACGGCTATCCTCTCAGGAATATTAGAGAGAAAAGTGCTGTCCTCTTCTACACCCCAACTTTCTTCCCTAGGGCACAGGGAGTGACCGACTGGTCAGTGAGTCTCCTAGTGCGGGCTGCCCCAGAAACACACCCCGAACTAAGAGTCTGAGAGTCAGTAGTTTACTTGGGGAGCAAAGCCAGGACACTCTGTAAGAGGAGTGGCGTGTGAGGTGAGGAAGGGGAGGCTGCCAGCATGGGGCGCTTCAAGATGTGGGTGACTACAGTGAATCGATCCCACCTGGATCTCTGGGAGCCTAGAGAACACAGTGCAGAGTGGTCCCATCTAAGAGGTGAAGGAGCTGGCGTATTGATTCTCCAATCCCTTCAGTCACTGGTTGATGGCTGCTTCCTCAAACCGCCTGCGCTGCTGCAAACACGGCATGGAAGGAAGACCAGGCACTTGCATTCCTTGTCCTCACAGGGTGCTCAGGAAGAATAAGTGCTAGAGGATATGGGTGGGGCTCCAACAGCACACGCTAATGTGAGATTCAAAAACTGGACCCTGTGCCTGCATTGTGCTGTCTCTTTATGGCAGCACATCCTGCTTTCAGGGTGCGTGTTTTCTTCTCCCCTCCCTGTAATTAGCTGGGAGTGGGGAGACCCTGCCCCACGGGTGAGGCCTGCCTACAACCACATGGGGGCGTTTAATTCAGTAAGGAGAAACGGGAAGCCCATTTGGGTTATCGGTCCAAGCTTTGTTTTCTAGTTCAGTGTTAGCCATGAGAAAGGGGTACTTCAATGCCTAGCTGACTTCTGGGTAGACTCCTTTACTGGTCAGAATCCAGAGAGGAGCGGGGCTGGAGAACCTGGCCCTCTGGCAGAACTTCAGTGTCTGGGCTTAGTGTTCAGTGAATCTGTCCCAGTGCCTCTGTGGATATGACTAAGCCCCATGCTCCATTCCCTTCTCAAGGGTGCTCTAGGCTTCTGTTCCTGAGTCAGTCCATCCATCACCAAGAGGCTCTCGGGAAACTACTGAAATTCCAGGACTGTGCTCATCATCAGGGAATGAAAATGCCTTATTGTACCAATCTCCCACTCAAAGGCCTACAACACCCTCCTCTGCTCCTTAGGAAAAGTTCGAGATCCTGAGCAGGGTTCACAGGACCCTGCCAATCTCTTCCGGAACCGCCAGGCTTCTGGCAGGGAACAAGAGGGACACTCCAATGAAGTGGTCAAGGGACCACCTGCAAAGGCATGGGTAGGATAAAGGGAAATCAAGAAAGGATGAGGAAGTCCCCAGGGATGGCCACTGCACTGGTGGAAGATGCTACACTCCTTGGCCTGAATTTGTAACAGGAAAGAGGACTTCCCAAATCCCCAGATGCATGTGAATGACATACATTAATAACACACCTAGATACAGACATGAGTGTATATATGTGCATATGATACAGAGAAAACCCTTATAAATATTTTGCCTCTCCAAAATGTTTTCTTTTTGGGCAATGGGAAGGAGAGATAAGCTGTATTTACTAAAATTTTTGCAAATAATTTATGTACAAATGGCAGCTTACCGTACAGGCCATGCAGAGAATACAGAAGAAAAGATTAATCACAGCAGGAGAAGAGGTAAGGAGGTGAGGCTTGGTGCAGCACGTCCTAAAGGAGGTGGGAGGTGTGAACTGGTGGCGACAGGCAGGGAGGTCAGGAGGGGTGTGAAACCCATGGGGTGGCCAGGGGGCATGCAAAGGCCCTCCTCAAACCGTACCTCTGGTTCACTAACACTTCCACTTTGGACTGCTGTTAAAGCTTCCTCGGATGCAGCTTCTTTGGCAATATTTCCCTGCAAATGATGACAGCAAGACATGAAAATTAATCAACACCTGCAGCAGTTTAGAGTCCAAGCTCTGGAGCAAGCTGCCGGGGTTCAGACCCCGGCTCTACAGCTTACCAGCCTCATGGCATTGGGAACACTATGTAGCCTCAGTTTCCTCCTCTGTGAAAAGGGGATGAGAAGAGCATCTACTTCATAAGGGTGTTATGAGGATAAAATACAGACAGACAGACAGAGAAACAGAGGCTTAGCATAGTGCAGGCGCCTCCTGGTTCTCTGGAGATGTTAGTTATTACTCCATTATTCATATTCTTCTGTTTACCTTGAAAGGTGCACTAAGTTTTTTCTAAAAAAAAAAAAAAAACAACTACTGTATTGAGGTATTATGATGGTGCAAAAGTAATTGTACCAAAAGTAACTGCATTAAAGTAATGGCAAAAACTGCAACTATTTGTGCACCAAAAGTAATTTGTGCCAACCTACCAGAATTGACATACAATAAGCTACATACAGTTGAAGTATACTTTTTGAAAAGCTTTGATTTACGTGTACACCCATAAAAATATCACCACGATCAAGATAATGAACATGACACATCACCCCCCAAGCTTCCATGTTCCTATGTGCCTCTCACTCCCACCCTTTCTACTCTGCCAACCACAGGCAAACACTGATATGATTTTTGTCATTGTAGAGTAGTTTGTACTTTCTGTAATTTTATATTACTGAAATCAAATAGCATTTACTCTTGATCCGGCTTCTTTCACTCAGCATATTTACTTTGAAATTCATCCATGCTGTTACACGCATCAGTGTTTTAGTCCTCTTTGTCCCTGAGTAGTACCCATGGTGTGGATGCACCGTACTGCCTCTACATCCTCACCAACACTTGGAATGCTTAATCTTTCTAGTTTTGGTCATTCTAATAGATGTATAGTTGTATTTGATTGTGGTTTTAATTTGCATTTCTCTAATGACTAATGAGATTGAGTGTCATTTCATGTGATGTCTTCTTTTGGAAACTTCAAATCTTTTACCCATTCTTAATTAGTTTTTTTATTTTATATTGTCGTGTTTTGAGAGTTTTTAAAAATATGTTGTAGAAACTCTGTCAGATATGTAATTTGCAAATATTTTCTCCCAGTCTGTGGCTTGTCTTTTCATTCTCTTAACAGTATTTTTCAAAAAGAAAAGGTTTTAAATTTCGATGACACCTAATTGGTCAATTTGTTCTTTTTTGTATTGTGCTTTTGATGTGGTTTCTGAGAAATCTTACCTAACCCAAAGTTCTCGTATGTTATGTTTTCTCTAGAGGTTATATTGGTTTGAATTCTGCATTCAAGTCTATGATTCATTTGCAGCTAAATTTGTATATGGTATGAGGTACGGATTGAGTTTTTTAAAAGTTTGTATATGGATATTCAGTTGTTTCAGAAAGAAAAGACTATTGTTTCTCCACTACATTGCCATGTGCCTTTGTCAAAAATCAGTTGTCTATATACATTGAGTCTATTTCTGAGTTTTTAAAATTCTATTCCATTAACCTACTGTTGACTTTAGCACCAATATTATACTATCTTCATTACAATAACCTTATAATAATTAGGCCAAGCATAATGGCTCACACATGTAATCCCAGTACTTTGGGAGACCAAGGTGGGCGGATCACTTGAGGCTGAAAGTTCAAGACCAACCGGGCCAACATAGCAAAACCCCATCTCTACTAAAAATACACACAAAAAAATCTAGGTGTGGTGGTTCACACCTGTAATCCCAGCTACTCAGAAGGCTGAGGCATGAGTATCACTCGAACCTGGGAGGCGGAGGTTGCAATGAGCTGAGATCATGCCACTGCACTCCAGTCTGGGCAATGGAGAAAAAAAAAAAGAATCTTATAATAATTAATCTTGAGATCAGTTAGTGTTATTCTATAGCTTCATTATTTTTCAAAGTTGCTCTGCCTGTTTTAGGTTATCTCCATTTTCACATAAATTTTGGAATCAATTAATTAAACTTTTATAAAAATTCCTGCTGAAAATGTGATTGGGATTTTGCTGAATTTGGGAAGAACTGATTTAAAGATTCAATATCCCACGAACATAGAATATCTCTCCATGTATTTAGGTCTTCTTTAATTTCTCTCAGAAATGTTTTGTAGTTTTCACCACAGAAGTCTTGAATATCTTTTGTCAGATTTAATATTTGTACTGTTTTAGATAGTATTTCCATCTGATTGTTCATTGCTATTATACAGAGATACAACGAAATTTTCCATATTAATTTTGTATATATTAGTTCTAGTAGCTGTTTTGTAGATTCCATCAGATTTTTTTCATAGGTAGTCATGCTGTCTGTGAGTAAAAGATAGTTTTAATTATTCCTTTTTAATCTGGATGCCTTTCATTTCTTTTCCTATCTTTCTGCACTGGTTCAAATCTCCAGTACAATTTTGATTAGAAGTGGTGAGAGCAGACATTCTTAACTTGTTCCTGACTTTAAGGGTAAAAGAATTAGTCTTTCACCATTATGTGTGATGTTTGCTGTAAGTTTTTCAAAAATAACCTTTATCAAATTGAAAGAGTGCTAAGAGTCTTTATGAGGAATTAATGTTAGATTTTCAAATGCCTTTTATACATTTATGAGATAAACATATGGGTTTTTTTTAGTTTGTTAAAATGGTGAATTACACTGATTTTCTTATGTTAAACCAAACTTGCATTCCTAGAATAAACCCTACTCAGTCATGATTATCCTTTTTGTATATTGACTAAGTTTACTAAATTTTAAATTTTTTTATTTCAATACTTTTGGGAGAACAGTTGGTGTTTGGTTGCATGGAAAAGTTCCTTAGTGATTTCTGAGATTTTGGTGCACTCATCATCCAAACAGTGTATACTGTACCCAATGTGTAGATAAAAGACTCTATGTTGATGGGCATTTAGTCTGGTTCCGTATTTTTGCAATTGTGAATTGCGCTGTTATAAACATGCTTGTGCAAGTGTGTTTTTCATATAATGACTTCTTTTCCATTCTGCAGACACCCAGTAGTGAGACTGCTAGATTAAATGGTAGTTCTACTTTTAATTCTTTAAGGAATCTCCATAGTGTTTTCGATAGTGCTTGTACTAGTTTACATTCCCACCAGCAGTGAAAAACTCTTCCCTTTTTACCACATCCAAGCCAACCAACATCTGTTGTTTTTTAATTTTTAAATGATAGCCATTCTTGTAGGAGTAAGGTGATATTCCATTGTGGTTTTGATTTGCATTTCCCTGATAATTAGTGGTGTTGAGCATCTTTTCATATGTTTGTTGGCTGTTTGTAAATCTTCTTTTGAGGATTCCCTATTCATGTCCTTTGCCTACTTTTTGATGGGATTATTTGGTTTTTTCTTGCTGATTCATTTGAGTTCCTTGTAGATTCTGGATACTAGTTCTTTGTTGGATACAGAGTTTGCAAATATTTTCTCCCACTCTGTGGGCTGTCTGTTTACTCTGCTGGTTGTTTTTTCCACTGTGCAGAAGCTTTTTAGTTTAATCAGGTCCCATTTATTTATCTTTGTTTTTGTTGCATTTGCTTTTGGGTTCTTGGTCTTTGCCTAAGCCAATGTCTAGTAGAGTTTTTTCCAATGTTATCTTTTAGAATTTTTATGGCTTCACCTCTTAGATTTAAGTCTTTGATCCATCCTGAGTTGATCTTTGTATAAGGTGAGAGATGAGGATCCAGCTTCATTCTTCTATATGTGGCTTGCCAGTTTTAACAAAATCTTTTTCCACTCCCAAATTATTTTCAATGCAAAGATCATTAAGTATTTTGACTCAAATCCACAAATGGATGTAAGCAAGTTACAATATTACATAAAGCTGAAGATATAATGTTATCCTTGAAATACATAATTTTTATAGCTAATTCACCACAGAAAACTTCATGAATTCTAAATATTATAACTAGAGCCTAGTCTAAAAAGCATAGAGTATTGTGAAAAAGATGCATATTGTGTTTGTCTGAAATCTTTAGAAAAAGCCTATTTTCTTCCACCAGCAGTGTTGGGAGTAGTTTCTTTATCCACTGGTAATGCCAAAAGTTGCTATTTCATGTCATTTCTATCTATTACTAATTTAAGACAACTATGCTGAATTAGGTTGTTTCATTCTAGTTTATTGAGAGGTCCTATTGTCACTCCTCAATGGATTTTACATATTTCTCATACACTTCACTCATGAGTTCATTCAGTTGCAGGGTGTTACTCAGCATCATCTTGACATTGATGCCCACTGTTGCATACCATTTTCTGTTATTATTCATTCATGTCTATCTGTGAATTGACACACTGAGAACACAGTGGTTCCATATGCAGCATCCAGAGAGCACTTCCCTCAGTCACCACGGCTGCAGCCCACAAGCTCCACATTGTTCACAGTGTGTCACATTTGATGGGATGCTGAGGGCCATTGTGCTGCACTCAGCTATCTAGGCCAGGAGGTGGGGCAAGGCTGGTCAATACTGTCATTAAAATCTTCTTTATCCTTACTGATTTTCTGTCTACTTATTCTATCAGTTACTGAGGGGAGCATATTGAAATCTCTAACTATAATTTTTATTGATCTATCTTTGCAGTTCTACAACTTTTTGCTTCTTATGTTTTGAAGCACTGTTATTGGGTGCATAAGTATTTAAGATTGTTATATTCTCTTGGTCTTTGTAATCTCTTATAGTATTCTCTGTTTTGGAATCTACTTTGTCTGAAATTAGTAAAGCCATTCCAGCTAACTTTTGATTAGTGTTGGCATGGCGTATCCTTTTCCATTCTTTAAATTTAGTCTATTGTATCTTTACATTTAAATTGCATTTTTGTAGTCTACATAAACTGAATTTTGCATTTTATCCACCTATATCTGCTTTATATATATGCTCTTTAATTGGGACATTTAGAACATTTAAATTTAATGTAATTATTGCATACATAAGTTTAAGTCTGTCATCTTGTTATCTGTCCCATCTAGTCTTTGCTCCCTTTTTCCTTTTTGTCTTCTTTTGGTCTAATTTTGTATTTTTATGATGATATTTAATCTCAACTGTAGGCTTATTAGATATAACTCCTTGAATCTGATTTGTAACATTAGTGGTACATCTTTAACTTATCACAGACCGTCATTAGGTGATATTATAGCACTTTAGGTTTAATATAAGAACCTTAAAATAGTATACTTTTCCCCTTCAGGTCTCCTCTCAAGGTCTTTGTGCTATTCTTGTCATACATTTTATTTTTACATATGTTATAAACCCCACACTATTTTTGTTTGTGAAGTCACTATCTTTTAAAAAGATAAATATTAAGGATAAAATCGTATACTTTTTTTCACTTTGTTACCATTTCCAGTGCTCTTCAACTCTTTGTGTAGAGCCAAATTTCCATCTCATATAATTTTCCTTCTGCCTAAAGGGCTTTCTTTAACATTTCTCATAATGTGGGTCTGCTGGTGATGCATCTTTCCACCTTTTCTGTGTAGGGCAAACTCTTTATTTCACATTTTATTTTGAATGAAAGATATTTACTGGATATAAAATTCTAGGGTGGAGTTTATTTTCTTCTATTTCTTTAAAGATGTGATCCTACTATCTTTCTGCTTGTATTATTTCCAATAAGAAATCTGCTGTTATTCATGTCTTTGTTCCTTTGTTCCTAACTTGACTTCTCCCAAACCTACTCCTGGCTGCTTTTAAGATTTTCTCTTTATCACTGGTTTTCCACTGGCTTTGGTACAGTTTTCTTTAGGTTCTTGTGTTTGCTGAGCTTTTTGTATCTGTGAGTATATTGTTTTCATCAAATTTACAATTTTTCAGTCATTATTTCTTCAAATATGTTTTTTCTGTCCTAGCATCTCTCTCTTCATGTGGACTTCTGCTACACATATATCAGGTCTTTGCAGTTGTCCCAAAACTCACTGATATGTATCTTTTTAAAAAATCCCATTTATATTTGTTTCAAGTTCACTAATCTTTCATCTGCAATGCCTAACCTGGAGTTAATCTTTCCAGTGTATTTTTCATCTTATTTATTGTAGTTTTTAATCTCTAGAAGTTTGATTTGGAGCATTTTTATATCTTTTATGTCTCTCCTTAACCTTTGGAACATACAGTTATAATAACTGTTTCAATGTTTTTGTCCCTTAATTCTAACATGTTTTCATATGTGTGTAGGTTTCAACTGATTGATTTATTTCCACCTTTTGCATAATACACTACCAGTTTTTTGAGTGCTGGTAATTCTTTATTGGATTCCACACATGGTGAATTTTATCTTGGTGGGTGCTGAAGAATTTTGTATTCCTATAGATAGTCTTGTACTTTGTTCCAGGACTCAGTTAAGTTACTTTGATTTTTTCAGTTCTTGCTCTAAAGATTTGTTAGGCAGGACTGGGGCTGTGCCCTCTCTAGAACTAATTATTCTCCACAAGCCTCTTTTGTACACTCTCTTGCAAGTTATAAGCTTTTGCAGTCTGACTGGCGAGAACAGGCACTATTCCTAACTTTGTACAGGCACGGGCACTATTAATCCTCATCCTTTTCAGAGGTTCTTTTCTCAGCCTGGCCTTAAGGAGTTTCCTCCCATGCCTGGTATGATCAACACTCAGCTGACTGCCTGACTGATCTGCTGATCAATGATGTCTCTCTCTGCGCACTCTGTCCTTTCTAGTACTCCATCCTTCAGACTTGAGTCGCTCTAGTCCGCATGGACTTAAAGACTTGGGAAGTCTTCTGGCTCCTCCTGCCCTGCGTTGTGTCCTAGAAGCTCTGTCAAGGCAGTCAGCTGGGGCAGCCACAGGATTTGCTTGGACTGTCCCCCATCTCCCAGGCATCGCTGGCCTTTGTTACAGTGATGAACAGTGTTTCCTATATTTTAGCTACATTTTGGTTATTTTAGGCAGGAGAATAAATCCAGTCTCTGTTACTGCACTTTAGCATAAAAAGAAGAACGCTGCACTTTAAAAAAACAAAAACAAAAGCAAAAACTAATTCCATTCATCAGCTTCATTTCCATCAATCTAATCCATGCATATAATCTTTAAAAGATTTAGGTCTCCCCTGAGTCCCCTCTTTGCTGGGAGGAGACTTTTCTGGGCAATGGGGCAGGTGTTTCTGTGTCTGCTGGGCCCAGTCAGGGAAGGAAGGAAAATGCTGTCCCATTTGAGTATGCAGATAGTGTGTCAGTCTCTTCAGGAAGCCTGTATTTCCCAGTGAGTTTAAGGCAGCAGTTTTATCTGGCTCAGCCTCCTGAAGTCAGGGAGCAAGGTAGGGAAAGGCTGACATTCTGTTCTGACCTGCGTTTTGGAGCATACCAGTGAGGCTTTGATATGTCCGTTACACACACAGAGGCCTCTGTTGCTCCCAGCTCATGGTGTGCTTACTGCTAGTGAGGCCTTTTCTGCATCAGGCATTAGAACTTCTCGGTAGTGACCCCAGCCCCAGAGATGCCCCTGATGTCACAAGTAGTCCCCAGGCCCATCCTCCTACCCTAGGCATGGAAGGATGGTCTCTCTCACCTGGATGTTTTCCATGGTATCCGGAAAGACAGGTTCCTGCGACTCCTCGACTATTTTTTGGGAACCCTGGCTGCTACTCCTGAGCTCAGCATCTTTGAGAGAAGGGATAGAATAATGACAGAAAATAGGTGATAAATATCTGCAGAACCACAGGAAATTAGACAGCGTGGTCACATGTTTTTAAGCTACAATGCATCTGAAGAATTTTATTCTACAGAGCAGTACCTTGAGGTAGGAAGAGCAGGTCTCTGCAGCCCACCCGGATTTTGACACTGAGGAGGGATTCTGGGCTAGTTCCTCCCTCCCTCCACCTCTCTGTGCCCTTATCCACATGATGTTGCCCAGGGGAGTTGTGGAGATGGGAAGATGGGCAATGGACCTGGCCCAGGCCTGGGCCGCAGGAGGCCCTCAACCTCTGCCAGGCCCTGGGCAATGGGATCCTTTGATAGCAGCCCCTTTTGAAGTTTACAAACAATGGGTTATCAGCTTCCTCGATGGTGGGCTTTGAAATGATCTTCAGGCAGAAGGTGGAAAAGGCCACAGTGAGTTACATCAGTGTTGGCTGAATGCCAAGGTTTAGCACAAGGGCTGCTTTCTCTTTGTTTGGAAAGACTGTGAACTCATGCTCTGCCAGCGGTCACAATGCTCACTTTTCTATTTTGTAATAGAAATTATTTTCAACAAGAACTGGAGCTGAGCATTGGTGTTTCAGTAAGTTCTGGAAAGTCAATAATCAGGGTAGCTTAGGCTTCATGTATTTAACCTTTACTAAAAATTACAGAAGAAAAAAAATTCCCATTTTGTCTAAAAAGGTCTTTCTCCCTCCTCCTCCCCTCCTTTCTTCTCTTTTGAAATCTCTCCGTGCCTAAAGAGGGCGTCCTGGGAGAAAACATCATTGGAGGATGTCCTCTCTTTTGTGCCTCACCCAGTGTCTGCCCTGCTGGGGGTTCTCAGCCATGACATCTGCTCTCAGCCTTTGGGCCTCAGCTCAGAGCAGCCCTAGGATGCCCTGCTCATAGCTGCCCCTCCCCAGAAGCGCTGCCATAGATGCAGGAGGGACCCTGGGCCCGCTGAAGGCTCCAGAGACTGCTGCTGCCACCGTGAGTGTGCGCATGCTGCTCTGCCTTCTTGTTTTCAAGCATCACATCAGACACTGCAGGGCCAGAGCAGCCAGGATCCTCTCTGCTTCCTCCTCTCCCATAGTGTTCTTCTAGTGCCAGCTACGACAATGGCCCCTGCAGATGTCTCTCAACCCCAAATACCTGGGTCGCTAATGTGTTACGCCTACTTCTGGCAAAGATATAGGTAAGTAAATGAAATTCTAAGAGAAAAATGAGATGCCCAGGGAAGTGTAAATGGCATAGTTGGAGAGGTACATAATGTTGAAGGCACAATGAGACAGAGTCACATCCTAGCATGAAAAAGCAGCTCTTTTGGCATGAAGAGAAAATGTCCTGAGAAGAGAGGGTAAAGCACTTAGAATCCCTCTTCCGAAGAAAGATGCTTTGAGGGAAAACAAAAACTGTCGTATCTCTAGCTCCTGATATGCCCTGCACCCTGCAGAATTTTCCAAATAAGACTATCTGGGGTTTCTAGCATTCTCATCATGACAAGAGCAGCATATTTTTTAGCTAATTAACTTTGTTGTTGAGATTAACACACATATGAAAAGTGTACAGCTCAGGGAATTTCTACATACGTCTATTCTTGAACAACAACCACCTATAAAAATACATAAAACTGGCTGGTCACAGTGGCTCACACCTGTAATCCTAGCACTTTAGGAGGCCAAGGCAGGTGGATTACCTGAGGTCAGGAGTTCAAGCCCAGCCTGACCAACATAATGAAACCCTGTCTCTACTAAAAATACAAAAAAGTAGCCAGGCATGGTGGTACACACCTGTAATCCCAGCTACTCGGGAGAGGCAGGAGAATCACTTGAACCTGGGAGGCAGAGGTTGCAGTGAGTCAAGATTGTGCTACTGCACTACAGCCTAGATGACAGAGTAAGACTCCAACTCAAGGAAAAAAAAAAAAAAAAAAAAGGAAAAAAAAGAACATATAAAACATTTCTAGCACCCAGAAGTTTGCCTCATCTCCCCGTCCAGTCAATACTCCTCTTGAAGGTATCCGCTCTTCCAACTTTTACTATCATTGATTACTTTTGCTCAGCAGCAAACTTGTAAATTAAAAAAACTTATTTTCAGTAGTTACCTATTTCAATGTATTAAAAATGTATTTCTTTCCTATTTTAAGTTTGAAGAACTACAAAAAATGCAACTAAAAGTAGACATTCACTGTGCATGCTTCTTTTATAATTAGGAAAAGATTATTAAAAAATTAAAAGTCTTAAAGACTGGATTAGATTTTCAGTAAACTAATAATCCTGGTGACTTAATTGCCAATGGTCTGATGTTCGTGAGACAGTTACCAACTACAAAGACTAATTGCCGTGACTAAACTGTTGTGAGGTGCTGCAGTTGATTATTAAGCAGCTGCCACGTTCATCCCTCAAGGTGACTGCATTTCAGAACTGGGCAAGGTGAAGCTGGATCTCCCTCTCCAGTGTCTCTGGGGTCTTACGAAGTTTAATGAGTGAATGTTCATAATGCCCCTTGAGATCCTCAAATGTGAGGTGCTATCCTGAGGAAAGCTGAGGCAGTGGTATTATGTAACACATGACTAAAAATACTACTGAAGCTGCAGATTTAACTGTTATTTTATGGCGTATACCATCTAAGTAATTTAGAAGTCATGAACTATTGGTTTACTCTAGTGGGAGTAAAGGCACAATTTGTCAGGACTTTCTTTCTAAGTGAGACTGCTTGTCTGAAGCAGGTTTACCATGAAGCTAATAAAGCTAGAGGTTCGGGCATCTTCCCAGCACAGGTCCCTCCAAGGCACAGCATCTAATGCTCCATTCATCATTTTGCATTACTATCCTTAAAAAGGGCTCCTGAATGGGTCAGACCTTAGGTCCCACAAGACTCTGGATCTACCCCGCTCTTTATCTAATAGGAATAATCCATACAGAGTGTAAAAAAAAATAATACATGTTGAGGGCTTCAGGAATAAATAATAATATAATTTTGTGCTTTTTACATTTATTTTAAATATCCATCAAAAATCTTAATTTTTGTGTGATGAAATAAATTGATTCTAAAAGAGCAAATATGGAGAAACAGTAAACAAACATTTAAGAAAGATGAACAAAAAGAGAGCCATATTCCCAACTGAATATTAAGACATTATAAAGACATAGTTATTAAAACAGAGAGTTACTTACAGAATGAAAGCCAGAAATAGACCCAGACAGTTATGAAATGTTGATATATGATGAAAGTGGCATTTCAAATTAGGGGGGAAAGAACAAACTGTATAACAAATAGTGTTGGAGGAGGTGAAACAAAATGATCTAATAGAAGCTCCCACCGATCATCCTCCCCGCAGGAACACAAAATTTAACAATTACATACACAACAAAGCACCGTCAGAAGAACCAAAAATCACGGGAGCGATCGCAGTATCTGGTTTTTCACTTCATATAACTGAAAGAGGCACTGAAGAGGGCAGGAAAGGCAGTCTTGAATTGCCAACACTAACTTTTCCCCATTCCCCTGGCAGTAGCCATGTGGTGTGGAAAATCTGTACACTCGGGGAGAGAAAGTGCAGTGATTGTGGGACTTTGCAATGGAATGCAGTGCTGTCAACACCAGGCAGAACTCAGCTGGCACCCCGAGAGGGAGCATTTGCATCTGCCCTAGCCAGAGGGGAATCACCCATCCTGGTGGTTGGAACCTGAGTTCTGGCAAGCCTTGCCACCACAGGCAAAAGTGCTCTGGGGTCCTAAATAAACTTGAAAGGCTGTCTAGGCCACAAGGACTGAGCTACCAGACTTAGGGGACACACAACCTAGTAAAACACCAGCTGGATCTGCTAAAAGAGTGTTTGCGTTACCCCACCCCTAATCCCAGGCACCGCAGCTCACAGCTCCAAAAGAGACTCCAACTCCTTCCTTCCGCTTGAAAAGAGGAGAGGGGAGTGAAGAGCACTTTGTCTTGTAACTTGGATACCAGCTCAGCCACAGTAGGATAGGGCACCTGGCAGAGTCACAAGGTCCCTATTCCAGGCCCTGGCTCCTGGATGACATTTCTAGACACATCCTGGACTGGAAGGGAAGCTGCTGCCTTGACATGAAGGACCCAGCCCTAGTAGGATTCATCACGTGCTGACTGAAGAGCCCCTGGGCCCTGAACAATCAGCAGCAGTAGCCAGGTGGTACTTGCCATGGACCTTTGGTGAGACTAAGAGCTGTGCTGACTTCAGGTGTGACCAGCACATTCTCAGCTGTAGTGGCTACGAGAGACCACTTCTGCTTGAGAAAAGCAGAGGAAAGAGTAAAGGGGACTTTGTCTTGAGCTTGGGTGCCAGCTTGGCCACACTGGGGAGGAGCACCAAACAGGCTCTTAGGGTCCCTAATTCCAGGCTTTGGCTCTTGAATGGCATCTCTGGACCACCATGGGCCAGTGGAAGAGCCCACTGCCCTGAAGGGTGAGTCCCAGGCCTGAAAACATTCACCACAAGCTGACAGAAGAGCCCCTGGGCCTTAAGTGAACATCAGCAGTGCCCTGGTCGTACCCCTGTGGCCTGCGGTGGTGGTGGGCATGGGGAGAGACTCCTTTGCATGGGAAAAGGGGAGGGAAGAGTGGAAAGTACTTTGCCTAGTGCTGTCAGAGTCAGCTCAGCTGCAGTAGAATAGAGCACCAGGTAGATTTCTAAAGTTTCCTACTCCTGACCCTGGCTCCCAGACAGCATCTCTCGACCTCCATAGGGCCGGGGAACTTGTTGCCCTTCAGGGAAGGACACAGGCCTGGGTAGTTTCATCACCTGCTTATTGCAGAGCCCTAGGGCCTTGAGAGAACGTAGGCAGTGGCCAGGTAGTGGTTACAGTGGGCCTTGGGCAAGACCCAGTGCTGTGTTGGCTTAAGGTTTGACCCTGTGCAGTCACAGTGGTGGTGGCCACAAGGGTGCTTTGTGTCACCCCTCCCCCAACTTCAGGTGGCTCAACGCAGAGAGACTCCATTTGTTTGAG